TGAGTTCACCAACTCTGATCATGTTTAGACAAGGCCATGGTCAAAGTGGAAGTTGTCTCCTCCCTTCAGAGAAAGGTACCTCCATCTTTGATGACCCGTTCTTTCCACTGGGATCTCACTTGTGGAGATCTTTCACTTAGGGGTTTTTTTTTTTGTTTGTTTTCTCCAGAGTGTCTTGGTTTTCCATGCCTGAAATACTCTCATGGGCTTTTCAGCCGGATCTGCATGCCTTAAGGGCTGATTCTGAGGCCAGAGTGCTGTTTAGGACATCTGCCATTCTATGGGCCTGCTGTGTATCTCACTTCCCATGTTGGATCGTTCTCTCCCTTTTTTATTCTATCATCTAGTATTTGCAGACACTATTCTTGTTTATGTGCTCCCTTTGGTTCTTAGTCCTATCATTATGATCAATTGTGAACAGAAATTGATCACTGGGACTAGTGAGATGGCATTGGTACATGCCACCTTGATGGGATTGAATTGGAATCCCCTGGTAAGTTTCTAAGCTCTTCTTAAGAGCTAGGACCATGACAAGAGCCTAGGGTGATTACGGATGCCATAACAAGAGCGTCAATTTGTTAAGTCAACAACAGGAGTCACTGTGCACTTACTCCTCATGTAGGATCTCTGTCCTTAGTGTGCTGTACATTGAGATTTAATGCTATAACTAGTACTCAAACAGTATTTTTCACTTTATGTTTCTGTGTGGGAGCAAACTGTTGAAATCTTTACTTAATGCATGCTAAACTGATCTTCTGTATATAAAGAGAATCGAAAATGAATCTTGATGTGAATGGAAGGGGAGAGGGAGTGGGAAAGGGGAGGGTAGCGGGTGGGAGGGACGTTATGGGGGGGAAGCCATTGTAATCCATAAGCTGTGCTTTGGAAATTTATATTCATTAAATAAAAGTTAAAAAAAGAGCTAGGACCATACCTTATTACCTTATTCATTTTCATAGTCATGTCTGGTAATTATTTCAACAGCATTTCACAGTTAAGTACTTATTACATATGAAAACATTGTGCAAAGATTTTGTATATTTTATTTCAAGCAATTTAATACATTTCCACAGAGCTTAGTTATTGTCCTCATTGTACAGGTGAAGAAACAGCAGTCTTGCTCCTACATTGTCCTGTATATTGGCCAAGTTGCAAAGTTAGTAAGTGGAGGATTGAAATACAAGCTCAGGTGTGACTGACTCAACAGCCTTACTTTGTTGGAAAAGCTTTCAGGCAAGTTCACTTTACAAGGACCTAACCTGAATATTTCTTTTTCTGAAAATAGGAGGTGTTTGGTGCCATTACACTTTATAATCAGTTTTCAATATAGTCAATATAAAATTTAATTCAAAAATATTACATGAAGGAATAAAATGTGGGGTGAGACAGGTGTTCGGCAGTGGTTAAGTCTCTGCTTGAATGTCTCTATCCCAGCCTTGCTTCAGATTCCAGCTTCCTGCTAAGATGCACATCAGAGGTAGCAGGTGTTAGACAATGCACTTGGTTCCCTGCCACCCACGTGAAAGACCAATATTGAGTTCCAGGCTTCTAGCTTCAGTCTGGCCCAGCCTTGTCTATTCTGGGGGTTTGGAGAGTGAACTATCAGGTGATCAGGTGGAAGATATTTCTTTCTCTCTCTCTCCTCTCTCTCAACTAAGAAATGAAAATAAAGAGAGAAAATGTGAAGTCTTATCTTTATGAAGTAAAATTAAATTATTAACTTTGAGTATCTATATATGCTTGCCATGCATTTTATAGAAAGCCATTAGACAAACCCATGTCATTTTTGCAGATTAAAAAGAAAAACTGCATGAATCTGGTACAATAGCTAGCAAGTGGAAGAGTCATCTAAGCACTATGTCAGCTCTCTAACATTGTATCTGGGAGAAAACATGCCTTTCATTCTGGCATCTTGTTGATTTCCTAAAGAGGTTTCTGCTGCAGGGACATTCCAGTTCAGCACAAAAAAATCTCCCTGCACTCTCAGGTTATTGTGTGTTCATAAAAATAAATAGTGGCTACAAATAACTTGTTACTCATCACAAGGCATAGTGGTTGTAAATCATTTAGAAAGAATATTATGCAAATAAAACATAAACAAATGCAATAAAGCCTATCAGTCACAGTTGTAGGAGATCTGGGAGGAAATGCAGAAAAGAATGGAGAAGTTCAAATTGAGAGGAATTAATAAATTGCCTTGGAAAATGTTTGACTTATCTTAGTACTAGGAGCAATCATGGAAAAAGCAGGCTAGGAGCACACCAAATACCCCTCCATCATCGTAGAAACTTGGCCCTCCCCTGCAACCTTGCTAAAACAGAGGCTTCCAGGTTTTTTGATCCCTTAATGCAAAAGGCACTCATCCTTGGTGACATCACTTGGGTTCCTGGCCCTCATCTTTCAGAAAGCTTCCTCACTTCCTCCACAAAAGAACATAACCCCATTTTCTGGCTCTGAGATCCAAGGCTTTCCTCTGCGACGCTCTTTTCACTTTTGCAGGTGTGTTTTCCAAAGCACTTTGGCTTTTCCTGAACCCTGATGCTTGGCTTTTGTTCTGGCTATTTTCTCTCACTGATCTGTTTTTTTCATATGTTTGCCTTCAATAGTGACCTGTATTTAACGTTCACTTAAAATCCTATCATGTCCATTCCAACATCCAGGCTTTTCTCAACTGGAATTAATTTCTAACTCTACAACAATCTTGTACTCACGTTAGAGCTCAATTACATAACCCTTTATAGTGTTAGAAGCATTTGTGTTTGAAGCTGTCTGTTCTAGGGTACTAGTAGATAATTTATCTTTTCTAAAATTATTTTTTGTTTGATGCTCACAATGCACAAAAGAATGTGTGTTTGTATTTGGGGTTAAAGGGGGATGATTTCAGTAAGTAATCTCTCTCTTTTAAACAATGGTTTTGTAAAATTTTTATTTTAAGAAACTTTTAAAAAATAGATTTTTGGGGGCCTGATGCCATGGCATAGTAGGTTAATCTTCTGCCTGCAGTGCCGGCATCCCATATGTGAGTCTGTTCGAGTCCCTGTTGCTCCTCTTCCAGTCCAGCTCTCTGTTATGGCCTGGGAAAGCAGTGGAGGATGGCCCGAGTCCTTGGGCCCCTGTACCTGTATGGGAGACCCGGAGGAGGCTCCTGGCTTCTGGCTTGGATTGGCGCAGCTCCAGCCATTGCGGCCATTTGGGGTGTGAACCAAAGGAAGAAAGACCTCTCTCTCTGTCTCACTCTCTCTCACTGTCTGTAACTCTACTTCTCAAATAAATAAATAAAATCTTAAAAAATATATTTTTTTTCAAGTCTCAGAGTATTTGAACTTTTCCTCTTAACTTTACTCTTTTAGGTAGGCCTTAGGCCAGAAGGTATCTAACATTGTGATCATGTTAAAAATATTTATTTGAAAAATTGAGAAAGAGAGAAAGAAAGGGAAGCTCCTATCCACTGGTTCACTTCCCAAATGTCCTCAGTGGCCAATATGAGGCTGAATTCAAAGCCAGAAGCCAAGATTTCAATCCGGATCTCCTCCATGGATCCCAGTAACCTAATTACTTGAGCTATCACTGCTGCTTCTTAGGGTCTGCATTAGCAAGAAGCTAGAATCAGGAGTTAGAGGCAGAAATTGAACCTAAGTACTCTGATGCTGGATGGGGGCATCTTGACTGTTAACATAAATGCCCACACCCATATTATCATTTTATGTATGATCTCATTTACTCAGATGGTCTACAACTAGAAGTGATCTATTTTGTTTCTGTCCCAAAAAATCTGTATGCATTAGCCACTACACTTTATGGAGTTCTTTTTAGCACCAATTGCTTCCTCAACTCCCAGAGAAAGGCTGTGTTCAACATTTGGACCAAGATAGTGTGAAGACTGAATTATTTCATCCAACAAATATTTCTCAAGTGCCAATGTTTTTAGGTACTCAAAGGAATATAGAGAGACTGCCGTTGTGGCATAGCGGGTTAAAACCCTGGCCTGAAGTGCTGGCATCCCATATGGGCGCTGGTTCTAGTTTCAGCTGCTCTTTTTCCCATCTAGCTCTTTGCTATGGCCTGAGAAAGCAGTAGAAGATGACCCAAGTGCTTGGGCCCTGCACCCACATGGGAGACCCTGAGGAGGCTCCTGGCTCCTGGCTTCAGATCGGCGCAGCTCTGGCTGTTGTGGCCATCTGGGGAGAAAATCAGTGGATGGAAGACCTCTCTCTCTGTCTCTACCTCTCTCTGTAACTCTGTCTTTCAAATAAATAAAATAAGTCTTAAAAAAAAAGAATATAGAGTGATAGTACTTTTGCTGTCTATCCCTAAATATGTTAGAGAATGGAGTTTAGAGTCACATAGACACAGTTCACATCTTAGCTATGCTGTCTATTTTATGTCCCCAGAAGTACTAAAAAACAATTCAGAGAATTCTCACAATTACATTCACTGTAATGATAGGCATTCTTCACTATGTTATACAACCACCACTTTATTAACGCTGGCAGTTAGGTGCAAATGAAAGGACTTCAGAAAGTTCATGGCAAAATGTAAATTAATGAAAAGTTTAAGTTAAAAAAAATTGGAACTCATGCTTAGTTTTCTTTTTACAATATTTCATTTTCCGTGAATGTTTTGAAGACATCTTGTATTGTGTGTGGTTCAGAGTAAGAAATTACTTATTTTTATAAGTTTATATTCATCACATCTCTAAGTCTCTGGCATTAAGAGCATTTATAAATGGCTTGTCGACTGAATGAACCAATTGTCAAAATATGAGATAACAGTAAACACTGAGAACTTCTGAGAAAAGTTGGCTTCTGTAAGCTAGGAAAACAAAGGCAAAGAAGGACTCATGTAGGTAATTTATCTTAGATATTAAACTCTAGTTAGACTTGAAAACTGAAATGGAAAGGAACAGATGGCACACTTTTTGGGATCAGAAACTGGTACATTGAATATTCCCAGCTTCTAGCATTGTACAAGAACATGGACAGTGCTTAATAATTATTTACCGTATGAACAAAGGCTTTGTGTAGAGAATAGTGTAAAAGTAAAAAGGATTGACCACAGTATCTATTAAGAAAAAGAGCCATGAGATGACCAGATGATTAATAGGACAGGGAGAGGGAGATATAGTCAGCAAGGGAAATGGGAATTAGACCTTGGGAAGCCTTGAATACCAAATTGGATATTGGCACTGAGAGCCATCTCAGGTTTGTAGGCAGGGACATTAAATGCAGTCCAGGAAAAATAGTCTAAACGAAGACATTAGGTGGCATGAGATGATCAGGAAAGTACTGAGTGGTGGTGAAGAGGACAGAAAGGATCACCAGGCTCAATGGCTGATCAGATCAGGAGGGCCCGGGAAAGTCAAGCAAGACTTCACAAGTTCGCCCTTAGACAATGAGAGAACGGCGGTGCCCTTGTCCTGGAGACTGTGAGAGGTTGTGATGATTTGGAGGAGATACTCTACATCCACTGCTGCGTGTTGCCTCTGAGTTGATGAGGGGACACCTAGCGTGCTGCTGTCTTATGAAAAAAGCACCTTTCAACTGATAAAATGTTCAGGTCATTTGTGAGAATACAGAGAATGATACAGTCTTTCTTTTGCCCTGAATGTGCTAAAGAGGAGAATGGGCTTTGGTATAAGGTGGACACAGTTCAGAGATGATGATGTTCCTTAGATCGGAAAATTGGAGTTCAGATTACAGGTGAGATGTCCTAGCTGATCCTCATCATGAATCAGACCCAGTTCATCCAGAAAAACCATAGAGAGAAATAGCAATGGCAGTAATCAGAAAGAAGGACTTTGTTTTTCATAGCTATGACTTGATAGAATCATGAAATAATATCCTTTGTGTAGCTCCCTTCTTCTCCTTCATGTGTTAGCTTAAATATTGCCTGAGGAAGGCTTTTGTCCTCACCACATTATCTTCTTTCTCCATTATGCATGTGCTTCTTTCTTATTACTATATAGAGAACAGTACTCATATCTCTTCTTTGACACCACTGTAACTTAGGGCAAGAGACATGGCTTCCTCATGCATCGTTAAATTTTTAGAAGACAGTGACTCAATAGAACTTTCTGCAATGATGGAAATGTTCTGTATCTGTGCTGTCTAATGTGGTGGCCACCAATCATGGAGATTACTCAATACCTAAAATGCAGCTGAGTAGCTGAATTTCCAATTTTATTTGTGGTTAACTCATTTAAATTGAAACAGTTACATGTGGCTAGAGGTTATCGTATTGGTCATCTCAACTTTAAAGTGTTCTCTAGAGCCAGGCACATTATAAGTATCAATAAGTAGAATTTTAATAAATGAACAAATGATGCAGAATAACCTAGCTCAAGTAACTCTGAAGATTGTTTATTTGGTTTCTAATATCTATCATAGGGATTGGACATCTCTTCATTATCAGAAAGGAGACAATCATGACATTTTGTAATAACGTCTTAGCCCTTTTATTGTTATTATAAATAAAAGTCTATGAAAGATAGAGTCAACCTGTGACTCCATCTTTGTATTGTTAGAAAAATAGTTCTGGATGGTCCTATCTTATTTTATATGTTTAATACTTATGGCATTTAGTTGATATATACATATGTATATAACACACAAACACACGGGGTCCTTTCTCCACACCTAAAATTTACAGGTGAACACTCAAAATTATCTGGTTGATACATGGCAACATCAACATCTAAGAAAAAAGGAGTATACCTATACTAGGGGCCTCTTTAATAGTTATAGAGAAGCAGATAGCTTCCCAATCCCCAAACTCACCCCCAGACACACACATGCACACACTTCTCATGCTTTTATATAGGGAGAAAATAATTTCTAGTTGGAACCAACTTAACACATACAAAGATTTAAAGTGCTAGAATAACAGAAGTCAGCAAGGAAGAGAGAATAAAGAACTAAGAAATTATTTATTTATGTATTCTAATTTGAAAAGCAGGGAGACAGACAGAGACACAGAGAAAATGAGAGAGAGAGAGAGAGATTTTTCCATCTACTTGTTCAATCCTCAAATCCCACAACAGCTGCAGCTGAGCCAGGTTGAAGCTAGGAGCTAGAAACTTGGAACTCAGTTCTGATCTGCCATGCAAATGGCAGGGAACCCAGGACTTCAACCATCATCTGCTGTCTCCAAAGGTGTGCATTAGCAGACGCTCAAATTGGAAGTGGAGCTGGAACTCAATCCCAGGCACTCCAATCTGGGATGTGGGTGTCCAAACAGTGTCTCAGCCACTGTGCCAAATGCCCATTCCATAAATTCATTTTTAAGATGTCTAATATCCAAGAGACTATTTGATTATTTTAAATCAATCTATATATACTATATCTTTATAGTTGAGACAATAATTGACACTGAAACAGTGAATAGAGAATTCACTTTATTACTTACTATGGATTTTTCATAATCAATATAGATTTTTAACATTCACAGGAAAAATATTTTTGATCACTGAAAATAACTGACTACTAAATGGCAAAGATAAAGAAAGAAAAAATAAAAGGATTATTTCCACCTTCGCTATTCTGGCTTTTGTCACAATTCTGTTACGCAGAGTCCATGACCCCTTTTCAAGATATAAGTAAACACCAAATATAAAAGCAAGTTAGAAATGAAGTCTCGGGGCTGGTGCTGTGGTGCAGCAGGTTAACACCCTGGTCTGGAGCGCTGGTATCCCATATGGGCACCAGTTCGAGACTCAGCTGCTCCAATTCCAACCCAGCTCTCTGCTATGGCCTGGGAAAGCAGTAGATGTTCCAAGTCCTTGAGCCCCTGCACCCACATGGGAGACCCCGAGGAAGCTCCTGGCTCCTGGCTTCAGATCAGCGCAACCTCTCCCTCTGTCTCTACCTCTCAAATAAATAAAATAAATCTTTAAAAAAAAAAGTGGGGGGGGGGCGGTGATGTGGCGCAGAGGGTTAAGGCCCAAGGCTGAAGCTTCGGCCTCCCATATGAGCGCCACTTCTAATCCTGGCTGCTCCTCTTCTGATCCAGCTCTCTGCTATGGCCAGGGATAGCAGTGGAAGATGGCTCAACTCTTTGGGCCCCTGAACCCACATAGGAGACCCGGAGGAAGCTCCTGGCTCCTGGTTTCAGATCGGGTCAGCTCCGGCCGTTGCAGCCATCTGGAGAGTAAACCAGTGGATGGAGGACCTTTATTTCTCTGTCTCAACCTCTCTCTGTAACTCTGTCTTTCAAATAAATAAAATAAATCTTAAAAAAAAAAAAAAAACAGATTGGCACAACTTTGGCCATTGCAGCCAACGGGGGAGTGAACTATCAGGTAGAAGCCCTCTCTCTCTCTCTGTGTATAACTCTGACTTTTAAATAAATAAATAAATAAATATTAAAAAAAAAAAAAAGAAATGAAGTCTCCCCTACTGTTGATGGCTCCTTCTCTAGCATTGTTCCAAGCAGGCTCATGGTATATTTAAAATATTGAGATGGTGAAGTAAGTTTCATTGTTTAATTAATATAGACAGAGGGTTCAGGGAGAGTAAGGAGTAGTTGTCCAAAATCTGAGGTTTCATTTTCTCATTTGAGAAAACCTGAAAGCCCTAGATATGCTCAAATCCACAGATTTCTTTGCCCTTAAGTGACTGCTTTTGCAGTAAACGGGTTTCTGGCCTGAGGCCAGAAAGGGCACTAATAGGAGAGGAAAGAGATGACAGAGGAATAATCTGGGTAAATTTGAGTGACAATTCTACAAATTTAGAGACTTAAAAGAGTCAAGCTGTCATTTAGACATCTCTCATCAACTCTCTGGGAAATCAGTCCCCTTTATCAAACATACCCAGAGGTTGCCAACCACTTTGCTATGGACCACAGCTAATGGGTGTCAAGTGTGTGAGGATCTCCCAAGTCCTTGGGCCATCTAGACAGGGCCCAAAGTAGCAGAAATGGGCAGGGTGCAGGTGCCAGCAGCTTGCACATATTCCCACTTTCCCTGTGCACTTTGCTTTGAAGTCAGAGACATACTTGACCAAAAAGAAAAACGGAGTCTGAAATGTGCCCATATCTGCCAGGTGCCTCCAAAGCTTTTAAGCATCAGTATTGCCCTTGAACATGTTTACATAAATTAGCTGTTTGGGTACTCACTTAATATTAACAATATTCCCAGGCCCACTGAAAAGGAGAGGCAGGTGCCCTTACCCTGGGTGAGAAAACAGTGACTGAAAATATCTTCAGCCAGAGAAAAGCAGGAAGAGAATCTGTCTCAGATATGAAATCCAGTTTAGTTAACATTTCCCTTATCCACATGCGTGTATTTAAGACAGCCTCCTTAATCTTATATAAATGATCTTTTAAGATTTAATTTCCTTTTTTGTTTAAATATGTATCAAACCCTACAATGGACTCACCATAAAAATGAATCAAGCCACATAATGTCACAAAATAACACTTTATGCATATGAAGTTCCATTGCTGTGGAAATAGTAATAAAAACCCTCACTGTAATGCCTATTTTATCAGCCCACTGAGATTTAACATCATGACCCTATTTTACTTGAAACATCCAGAACTATTCTGAACAAATACTGAACCCAAGGACAAGCATTATATTCTATCCTGAGTATGACTGTGTCATCACAATGCTCCCAGTCTTGGTTTACATCTGTGAAGTGGGGAAAAGGTATACCTGGGTGGTGTGCTAAAAGAGTGATATGTAGCAACACTAAGAATTTTTCTGACACAGGGACTAGGAGTATGCAGCAAGTACTCAAAACTAGCAATGTTGAAAAGACAACTTAAAAACAAACGATCTATCAAAATGTCATTGTACTTGAATAAATAGGGAAGGAGAGATTTCATTTTAAAAGTTCCCTCATTTTAAGATTGAGAAAATTATATCAATGTAAAAATTCTATTTTCTATTGAGTTTAGTAAATGAACCAAGAGTTTGTCATCATGTAGTTTACTATGAAACTAACTTTTAGTGATTATTCAAGCACCCGTACCTGTCAGAACAAAACATATTTCCATTGTGAACTAAATAGACATTGAAGGTATGAAGAATTAGCATCCTCAGGAAGTGCTATTTTTTTATT